TTAGACTAGACTTTCGAAACAAGAACAAAAATTCAACGGAATCGTTTCTTTCAATGAAATTGAAAAAGTAAAGCACTTAAAAAAATCTTTTTGCGCAAAAGTTGTAAATGAAGAGGACAAAAAAAACAACAAAATAAATAGTTACTGTCAAACACAACAAAAACTCTAGGTCAAATTGTTTATGTTTACTTGGCCCAATATGTGCTTCATTTGCACATTATGCTTCGCAAATTTGATCAAACTTAACTATCGTATTACAGCTTATAACTACATTTGTAAGTATTGTTGTCGCTGTATAATACACCGTAGCACAGAGAGCTCAAGGCACTTTTGTAAGTAATATCAGCAGCTCTAGCTCTTACTTTCAATGACGTTCACTTGAAGGAATTCTTTTTAAACTATTCAATGTGGGAAGACGCCATAATATCATATAGGTATCTATTGTGATGTGTGTCTTGTGTCTTATGTACTTATTATACAATTGGCAAACTAGAAAAACTTGCTGCTACTACGACTTCAGATATTATTTAATTTAAATGTACTAGAATAGAAACTAAAACCTACGTCAGAAAATCCACACACTTTTATCTATTCTTAAAGTGGCATTCATAACTTAATAAGTAATTAATTTACCTGTACCTTATATACAGTAACCAACACGCCGCTGACTCAAAATTAATGTAATAAATAAGGGTGTACTCTTATCATTTAGTTATATATGGTAAAATTGCATTGGTTCATATTATAAATTGTTTTATTGCGTCTACTCACGGAATGACTTTTATTAAACTTGAACTTTCTCAAAGGCTTGTTGGGAGTTTTCTCAGGTGAAAGTACCAAGCTTTAAACTAAGATTGCAATTTTCAGCTAAGAATTTGCATACGTAACACATTATTTGACGAATAAATTTTTGTAACAGCAGACTTCCTGCAATATAATAAACTGGTACAACGCATAATAATCTCAAACTTTAAAAACACATGCCAAGCTAGCACAACAAAAATTTATTTCTTATTTCTACATTGCACTACATCTCGCTAATTTTTTTTGCATAATTCAAATATAAACGATAGATTCTACGTACATTTTTAAATAACTATAACTTCTCAAAGCATAATAAAATCTTCTATCTCCCAATAATTTCAAAAGCGCTTTTTTGTGGTAAAATTATTTTAAATATTTAAGTTAAAATAGTTCCGGAATGTACCTATTTGACATATCGCACTCGAAAACTGTTAGCACCTTGAGATTCTACGTACCTTTTTACGTAAGTATCACTTCTGAAATCCTATTAAACACATTACATCTCAAAATAATTCCACGAGCCCTTTTTTATGTTAGATTATTTTGGGTATTTTAACAAAAAAAAAGCCCGAAAGTGCCTATTTGACATCGCACTCGAAAACCATCAGCACCATGAAATTCTACGTACTTTTTTACATAACTATCACTACTCAGATCTTAATAAATACCTTACATCTTAATATAATTTCACGAACGCTTTCTTATGTTAGATTATTTTGTATATTTTAGCACAAATAATGCCGGAAAGTGCCTATTTGACATCGCACTCGAAAACCATTAGCACCATGAGATTCTACGTACTTTTTTACATAACTATCACCATTCAGATCTTAGTAAATACGTTACCTCTCAAAATAATTTCACGAGCGCTTTTTTATGTTAGATTATTTTGACAAAAATAATGCCGGAATGTGCCTATTTGACGTCGCACTCGAAAACCATTGGCACCTTGAGATTCTACGTACTTTTTTACATAATTATCACTACTCAAATCTTAGTAAATAGTGTTCATCTCAAAATAATTTCACGAGCGCTTTTTTATGTTAGATTATTTTGTATATTTTGGCAAAAATAATGCCGGAAAGTGCCTATTTGACGTCGCACTCGAAAACCGTTGGTACCTTGAGATTCTACGTACTTTTTTACATAATTATCACTAGTCAAATATTAGTATATAGCTTACATCTCAAAATAATTTCCTGAGCGCTTTTTTATGTTAGATTATTTTGTATATTTTGGCAAAAATAATGCCGGAAAGTGCCTATTTGACGTCGCACTCGAAAACCGTTGGCACCATGAGATTCTACGTACTTTTTTACATAACTATCATCATTCAGATCTTAGTAAATACATTACATCTCAAAATAATTTCACGAGCGCTTTTTTATGTTAGATTATTTTGTATATTTTGGCAAAAATAATGCCGGAAAGTGCCTATTTGACGTCGCACTCGAAAACCGTTGGCACCATGAGATTCTACGTACTTTTTTACATAACTATCATCATTCAGATCTTAGTAAATACATTACATCTCAAAATAATTTCACGAGCGCTTTTTTATGTTAGATTATTTTGTATATTCTGGCAAAAATAATGCCGGAAAGTGTCTATTTGACATCGCACTCGAAAACCATTAGCACCATGAGATTCTACGTACTTTTTTACATAACTATCACTACTCAAATCTTAGTAAATAGCTTACATTTATTCAAAGCTTTGTAAATGCCTTTCATCTACCAATAGTTTCACGAGCGCTTTGCTATAAGTATTCCTTTTATCTAATATTTCGCGTACTTTTAATAGGATACTTTTAAAGAGAAATAGGTAAATTAAGCAAGACAATATACGATTTGTATACAACTGTGAAAAAATCCAGTTATCAGATCATTGTTCTTCACACATTCATTCATTCATTAAAACATAAAACTACGAAGCTGTCAACTGTTACAGAATAACGAGCGGGTAATTATTTAAACATTTTACATAAGGTAGTTGAAGTATATAATAAATAATAACTAAACTGTATGATGCCGATAGAGGAAGAGAAAGAGAGACAGAGAAAAAGAGAAGTTTGCAGGTTTGTACCAGGCTGAGTCTGGCACTATTAAATTGTGATTAAACCTACATGTAGGATAGGTACAGTGTGTATGTAAATATGTACATACATAATCATGTGTGTCTATATAAAACATACAAAGTTGGGTTGACTTACATATACGTATGGATCTAATAATAAATACATGTATATATATCTACACGGCAAATTAGTTTGCAAAAGTGGTGTTACAATAAATAGTAACAAACACGCCCATTTTTAGACTTAACACTTTCACCTTTTGCCCTGGTGATCCACTAACTATATAAGCAGTTTAGAACCGATTTATAGACCGCTTCTATTTATATCTTGTGCATTGTATATTGTCTATTACACTATAGAAGCCATAAATAATATTTTATTTTATAATAAGTAACAAGTAGGTATGATATTCACGTCTACACACACAATATAATACTGACATACTGTGCCAAACAATAGCACAATAATTGAAGCATAAAAGGTTTTCCAGTTAAGAAATTTAACATACATATTACAGAAGAATACAAAACTTGCGTATGTTTTATGTAGAGCACTAAAAACGTGAGCACATTTCTATTTCAACGCCCTGTATAGAAAAACTAATGTGCAACGATAAAGAAATAGCGAACTTCATAGGTCGTAAACAGTTTTTATAGTTTTGTATAAGTTAGTAAGTATACTTCTTGATTAGACAAGGGTAGCAATTTTTGTTTTAATAGAATTTTTTAAATGTAAAATGATATAAATTTCTCAAAAACGAATAATTAGTTGCGTTAATTATTTTTTAAGTATCTACCTTATTGTAGGCACCACAGATGAGATTCGGTTTAAACTGCATAAAGAAATATTAACTTTTAATCACTCTAAGGTCTAATTACTTACATCTCTAGTAATTAGACAAGGCAACAGCGCTGAAGTTAATTAATTACCTACATACAGAAAAATATCGCATTTCAAAAAACCGGTTTACTAAAAGATGTCTGATAAGATGCTTCTTCAATGTTAACTAAAACTTTGCTTAAAATATCCCAAAAAGTTGATTGCAATTTCGTAAATCTACCTTTACTTTAAAATTGTCTTTTTTATTGTATTAGGAGTACATAATTATTGTTAAGTAATACCATTGCTTGAGTCTAACAAAATTTTACAATAAAGAACAGCCTCAATGATAAAACTGCAATACGAAATAAAAAGTGTGATATTCAGTTAATTATTTCATTGCCAAATCGAAAATTAATTACTTACTTAATTGGTATTAATATAAGTTTGTTCGCAATTACATTTTATCAATTTTTTTGTAAATTACTATTACGATGAATGATCGTTTAATAATTAAGATTTCATGAAAATCTTTAGCATTTATTTCTTATATAAAACGCGTCTACAGGTAAAGGTAGGCATACTGCTTACTTGTAATTAGAGGTGTAGGTAAGTCCTATAATACCTATTTATTAACAAGTTTCAGTTATTTTAACGTCAAGTGTAACTTATTTTACACGTAAATGACCTTTTCCACCTTTCTCTATCCATTTCTATAAATTTTTTGCGTACATACCTGTGAATCGCTAGTTTTTAGAGTTTTTAACGAGATACACTTCTCTGCCGTATGACCGCACACCAACTCCGTCAACTAACGACTGATTTATAAATTGTTGTCAACAGCAGGTTGATGTCGGTACCGACACCTGTTGCAGAAATGCCGAAATAAAACTTTGCTAAAAAAACAAGGTAAAATTGACGACCAATGGAAATAAGGGATACAGAATTTTAAAATTTGAAAGAGGTAAAACCTTTTAATTACTTAAGATATTGTAATAAATGGTCATCATCCTTGAATTTTTAGTCATGTGATTACCGAGACCTTTAATTTGATACATGATAATTCCAAATTTAAACAAAACAACAATTATTAATTAATAACGCATTCGTTTATTTATTTATTTTTTATTTTATAACCACAGTCTAATTTCAGTTCAGACTAGAAAGAGAAAAATTTAAAACAGTTTAAGCTAAAATCGTTTGGCCTAATATCTAATATAATAATTATTATCTTTATAATAACTATATAGGTACATTTAAAATGTCTGATTTAATTAAAAAGTAAACAGAAAAAGAAAACAAAAGTAAAAAAAAAAAACAGGTAAGTACTATTAAAAGAAAAATAAAGGAAACACTCATAAAAAGTAATGACTAGAAAATGGCAAAATTCAATTATTGATTACTTGACTAGTTGATGCCTTTGGGAATGTTGCCGATGGGGATGGGACAAGTTCAGAAATAGGAGTTCCAAGAACTTGCTCACAAACGACCCCCAGCTCCTTATCAAACATTAGAGAACTTATCTGATCTTCAGTGAGCATATCAACGCTAAAATAAAATTGCAAAAGTTAAAAAAAGAGCTAGAAATAAAACGAAACATTAAAATGGTACCTAGCCAAACTCTCGGAGTCAGAAGAATCGTCTTCAGGATTTAAATAAGTCAATGTCCTTTCCAAGGGGCTTGGAATTTTCTTAATAAAACCTTTTGATTGCTTCTCCTCAGTCACTTCGAGTTTTGGCTCGCTGTTGCGCCTTTCTGTTAAATTACTTATATTGAGCATCATAATGCCTTGTGAAAAGAACTCTTTCATCTTTTCACTTGTAGGACCTAAAATATTGTCCAAGCTTTGTCGACGACCTGTGAAATTAAAAAATAAATTTAAACATTACTACTAAAAAGGACCTTGTTACACCTACTATTCCCTAACGTTTTTTCTTCGTTTTTAGCAGACGACCTCGTAATCCAATTAGATATTGTCGTATCCAATTTCATCCGACTTTTAATGGCACTAAATTCGTTTTCTATTTTCGGATTTGGCAGGGTTTTTTGTCTTGTAAGTTTTGGTTTGTCTTCCACTCCACCATTTGCCTCTAATCTTTCATAAGGGAAGTCCTCTTCAGGACTGGAGACCTCCAAATTGATCTCAGTCCATTCCCCTGACTGGCTACACGGGACAGTTATCTTATCCCTTTCTGATTTATCGTTTTCGCTGCAGGAAGAAATGGAAACAGGAGACAATCCGTTTGTCAGGTTAACATTTCGGAAGCCATCCACTTCTTCTAGGTGAACCCTTGTAGGACTAGCTTTTGCACTTAATTTCGTTGGAAGACTCATATATTCTTCTTCTAAATTGTCCACAGCGCAAAGAAAGGGATCTATTGTTGTTTTACTTTCTTCTAATTTTTGATTTGTGCTACTGTTGCCTTTTTGGCTTCTTGACTTGTGTATTTCGTCTGATATTTGCTCTAAATTCCTCAAGGCTTCTGCATAAGTCATTTTAACACCTGTAACCTGCATTTCAAGATTTTGTACTTTTGCTTTTTGTTGCTCTAGCATGTGATAAAACTGGGCTTTTAATTCGTAGTATGGTCTAAACAACAAAAATTTAATTACCAAATATTCATTAAGTTATAACTTATAAACAATTTGCAGTTACTGAATCAAATTTTTAACTCAATGAATGCTCAAATTAGAGTAAAACAAGCATCCAAAATATTATATGTAAGAAATAAAAACAAATAAAGCATTACTTACAAAAAAATTAACTCGTGCTGATATGCTAAACTACTTATCTGCATAAGTGCTCTTCGAATTGCAAAACTAAAGAAAAATTAAAATTAAAAAATTAATAAACCGTGTAGTACAGAACTGAGCACATTTAAAGTACCTGCTTTTAGTTATTGCTCTCTTTAATTCTTTCTGTAGGCACTGTACTTTTGCATTAGCAGCTTCATGTTTGATACAAGCCAATCTGTGTTCTTTCTCTGCAAAACCCCTGTCTCTTTCTGCATCATTTACCCTTTGTGTAGCATGATTCAACATTTCCTGCCAAGCTGGATCTATTTAAAACAATAAGTATGAGCATATTTTATTAAAATAAAGGCAAAACTGAATAGCAACTCTAACCTAAAGTTCGACCTCCCAATCCTTGCTCTGCTAAGTAAACCATTTCTTTAGCAGCACTATGGGCACTATTGGCTCGTTCATATTTCATAGCAGCATTTTGTGTTTGCTTTAAAGCCTCATTTGCACAAAACCTGGCTTCATAGTAAGGTTTGGCTCTCTCAATACATAACCCTAGTTTTACTCTCAAGGCATCTACTTTAGCAGTGCTTTCACAAAGAAGCTGTCTGAATGCAGCCCTAGAATCATCTAATTCTAATTCGAGTCTGTTAATTTCGTCAGTAGCATTATTTAATTTTTCTAATTCTACTTGAACCCTTGGATCTATTGCTTCCAGTTGATCTGAACCATTTTCACACATATTTGATTGGATAATTCAAAATAACGGGACTAATTAAACAGATATTGCTATTTATCATTTAACATTACTAATAATTAATTAGAGTATCACATATTAACTACTATATTTAACAATTATGATTTTTATTTACTCTTACACTTTAAAATGCATCTACTAGTATTTTTGTATATAGGCAACCCTTTTAACTGCTCCCATACACATTGCAGGAGTTGCCTATACGGACCTCACGAGTTTCTTCAATCCAATGCAACACGGAACCGTTTTACCAAAAATATATTTCTAAAAGTATCTATTTTGCAAGCGAACAAGTTCTTACTGTAGAAATACTGATATAGATACATGAAAGTTATGATTTAATTATTTTTCTATTAATTGAAAACAACGCATGCCTTACTTACTTGTCTTTTAATATACAATTTAATATAAATGCAAAATAAATTAATAAATTATTACTTTCGATTGATTTAATTTCATTCCTTTATTAAAATGCAATTTCAAATGTTTTTCTAACTAAAGAAAAACTTCACTTATTCTAATTTCAAAATTTTTATGCCTAAACTCGCAAAAGTTGGCTTTGAAAACCTTAAGTCTAATGTTGGTCTTTGATTGGGCGATCAACAAAGTTCTTTCCAGTTACGCTATTCTTTGGAATTAGTTTCCTCGAAATTATCTCTGCAATTTTTGAAAATTTCTTACAGTAAAAGTGTTAAGACTTAAATTAAAATTTTTATCAAAACGTATTCTTTTAATCGTCCACTATATGAGGTATGTATTTTTTTATTTCGCACCGAAAGGATTTTCGCTATTTTTGAAGATAAAATTTTCAGCAATATAACCCATACCGTGATAAATATTAAAAGTTATAAAAACTATTAATATTTCATTGAATGCATACTAAATTCGTTAGTTTTTGCAAATTAACATCATTACAAGGACTTTTTTCATATATTTGTCGATGTTAAAACGGTAATTTAAAATTTTGATTCCTTCGGACAGCCTTATAATGTTTTCATGTTTTCAATACAAATAGAACCAAATGGCAAATATATAGTTGTACAACACTTTGCTAAATGTCGTATTAAACAGAGTTTTACTGATTTAATAAAGTTAAAAGTTTGTAAAACTACTCATTTTAGTAATAACACAAAATACAAGTACTTTTGTTACATGTTCCCTCAAATTCACTTGTTTTTTATAAAACAATAGCAGCATTTTCAATAATCGAACATATTCTGACGTTAACTACTAAAAATGTTTTACAAAATAACAATTTTTTCTTTGCTACCTATGAAACAATCGAAAACTTTTCAGAAGGATAAAAAAGGGCAAGTTTTCGTTCATTTTCGTCTTGCTGTCTTGTAAAATTGATTCTTAAGACATTTTCTGTATTTTTGCAGTAATTGGAATAGAAATTTCTTCAAAACAATCCAGCAATACTCACACTCATCAACTAGAATGATTTAATCGACAGGAACATCAAAACTTCTTCGAATGAAAAGGAATTAGGAAATTCTTGTATCTCAGCCCAGATTTCCGTCCATACTCATTATTTAATAAGGTAGGAATTTTACTTTCTGTAAAACAAAAGCAAATTAAGAAGTTAAAATGATAAGTTGATAATTTCACTTGCTTAGAGGTCCTACTGCATCAATCTCTAAGACATTTTCTATGTTTTCACAGTAATTGGACTGACAAATATTATACTTCTTCAAAGTGATGCCAACGCCTACACAAATCAGCTAGGAGAATTCAATCGACAGAGACAGAGACTTAAAACTCCCTCTAAGACAAAGGAATTAGGATTTCATGGCACTGAGGCTTCTATTCCCTGTATAAGGTAGAAATGTTAGAAAATGTTTATAATTGTTTTGTTTCATAACAAATTCCAAATGTTTTATGTGCAAGGTGTCAGGGTATACACACAATTTTCTATTTGTGTTAAAAACCTTCGAAACATAAGCCAATTAAGAGTGTTACCTCACTTTCCATCTTCAGTTAATTCTAAATAAAATAAAAATACTACCAATTTGTAACACATTTCTATTCAGTTGAAGACAGAAAATCATAAACTAAATAATAGTGATGTTAGTTTGTAAAGATAATTTGCCTACAAATTACATTAGTAATATGGAAATATTATATACAGGGCAAAGTAGTATTATGTAATGTTAGTATCGGCAATGCTGAAGTGTACGATGTGTTGCATACCTATTTACAAACAATTTCTTTAAATTTTAATCATTGACTTATTGATTACTATATCTATTAAAAAACCATAATGGCCGACATCAGTAACAATGCGACAACAATTAAAAAAGAATGATGGCCGACAACAGCAACAATTAGAAAAGAATGATGGCCGACACTATGTCATTATATTGTTCACAAAAGTAAATTTCGACCAGTTGAAGCAATGGTGCTAACAGTTTCGGGTTTACAGTGACTAATAGGGGGGGAAAAACTAGTTAAATTTATAATAAAAAAGGTATTAATAATTAAAACTCAAACACATACTTTTACCGTTAAATTCTTTGCCATTTAAAAATGAAAATGCGATAATTAGGGAACCTGTAAAAAACCTGCAACACCCTCCACTTGTGCCTGTGGTAGAGAGCAAAAGTAGGAATCACTTTTTACTTTATTTCAATTTGTACTTCGTTTGAACTCAAGATGCCCCTCTATTCGTTAATGATACACAGGGTGTTTGGAAAAAGTTAAACAAATTATAACATAATTACCTAATAAAAGCTGGAAAAATGAAAACAAAACACTTGACCCTCGAAAGCAATCGTTACATTCTAATAACTTTCTTTTGTTCAACAAAAAACAATTGGTAGATTCTGATACATGACTTTCATCAGTAGATCTGCAATTATTTTAAATTTCTTTATGACAATATTTCTAGTATTTTTCTGCAATATTAATAAATATTAAATGGCAAAAATGACATCGTTGAAACGATTAAATCTTCATGTTATAATTAAAATTTAAACTACTTAGCATCTATTAATTAGTTACCATTATTTACCCTTTTTTTGTTCGAGAATTATAACGTACCATATGGTTAATTTCATACCAACGTCTTATAAGCAAATCATGGCATTATTTATAAAAATTTTATGATGAAACCAGGGACGGACTGAACGACCTAACTAAGATTCGTATCAAAAAAATTAAAAAATTTATTAACTAAGAGTGACAAGATGGTTCTTTAGCAATGTGATAGTTATATTTTTCAGACGTTGCTTTTATTCAGGAGGTAATAGCCCTTAGATAGATATAATGTCCTGCAATATACATCACACATTTATCTAAGAGGCCTTTTTCTTATACTTTAAGTCTTTTTGAATGTTTTGATAAGTAGTATCGCCAATGGCTACCCCAGCAGCACTTGCCATCCAGTCTGGTATGGCTTTGATCCATTCCCATCCATCTTTCGTTGCAGGTTCATTCCAATTTGTCAAGTGAGAGAAGAGGATCTCAATAATGTTTGATAAGTTGCGGGGCTTTAGGGGATGTTGTTAGCCATCATTGACAACTGTCATCGTCAGCCATTTTTAGGCTTCCACCCTCTGTCCCGGGGGTTTCGTTCCTAAGGACTCACTTCATCAATTGCCTCCTGATCATTATCACTGTTACTGAAGCTCCTCATCATCAAGAATCTCCTAGACCATCAGCCCTAAATGAGTTCCCCATTATACAATGGTCGTCATGAAGTCATCCGATGCTGGTAAGTTTGACCACGCAATTCACTGACGCTCAGTCTCTTCTTCTGTTTCAGATCCGTTTCAGTTTGTCGTGTGTTCGAATCGTTTCAAAGTGCCTTTCAATGACAATATATTTTCGCGAAAAGTTGGTGACGTTCGTGATCGGTAGTGAAGTGAAGTGTGTGAGTTGTGTTTGTGACCGGTAGTGACGGAATCGATGGTTCTCCCACTGTCCACCACCCAGTCTGGTACGGCATTCGCCCACCCCTTCGGTCAACACGGAGAGGATGACGATCGTGGACATCCGACGCTGGATTGATCAAGGTTTCGGTGAACCCTTCAGAGGTCTAGCCGACGCCTCAAAGTAAGTCACTAACGAATTTTGTTTCAAATAGACCTGAGTGACAAGCTTTTGTTATGTTTCCGTTTCTGTTTTATTATTTTGGGGCTGATTTGATTTTTGCGCCCAATAAGGTAAGTTACAAACTGTAACTTAGTGTATTATTGGGCTCCTCTGTTTGTCCTTTGATCTAATTCGATCGCTCGACATGTTAGGGACCGACGTATGCAGGTGCTGCGCCTGTAACGTCAAACTTTAATTCTCGTTTGGGTTTTTTTATGATTATTTATTAGATGCCGATTCAGGTCCTCTATACTATATTATAGTCTATGATGTCTTTTGGTGAGATGATAGTCGAAGGTGGAGAACATTTGAAATTGGTATTTTGTCCACGCTGTCCTTTGGGGGTTGTGTTCCACGTATACATACACACACACACCATGTACTTACACACATTTATTTTATATTTATATGTATGTTTACTTGTCACTCGTTGGGTCTATTTGATATTTTTTTCAGCTTGTGTATGCAGCAGTGTAGCGAGGAAGACATTGCTTCTGAAGTGTTGGGGTATATTGTATCATACCTTTCTCTGGCGTAATGGTGGGGGTTCAGAAATGACGATAAGCAAATATTTTGGAATAAGTTCTTTCTAATTTTGAAATTACAATTGCTAAGAAATTTTGACATTTTTGATAACATTTTCTTTTTATAGCAATTAATTCAGCTTTTAATTTTACAACTAAATTCTTCTTTTTTAATGATTAATTTTGGGTAATAACCAGTGGCGTAGCTAAGGGGGGGCGGCGGGGGAGGCCCGCCCCGCTAG